AAATCTTTTAGATGGCGGCTGAATGAAATGTTGTTACAGAAAGAAGCAATAGTGGGGGACTGTAAAAAGAAATTAAAAACATTTTTTGAAAATAATTTAAATAAAGGTACTGATTTAAGAAAGGTTTGAGATGCAAGTAAAGTTTTTATTAGAGGTTATTTTATACAACATAATACTGAACTCAAAAAGAAGAGGCAAGAGAAAACACAGGTTATTTTGGATGAGATAAAAAGAAAAGAAGAACTAAAGAAATTGCTGAGAGATAAGTATCTCTCAGCAAATTAAGCTTTTACAGCAACAGTTATCTATGTTAACAGTAAGAGGAATGGAAATAAAAATGAATTGCATAAAGCAAAAGAAAACTGAATTTGCAAATAAACCAGGGATGGTTGGTGTATAAACTAAAACAAAATTTACCAAGGATTACAGAGGAACAAAGATAAATTACAAATGGACCTATAACAATAAGGGAAGTTTCTGAAGCTATAAACAAGATTAAACCAGGAAAAGTGCCTGGTCCAGATGGACTTCTGGGTTTTTATTATAAATGTTTTGAGGATGAACTTTTACAACCTCTATGAAATATAATGAACTCTGTTTTACAGAGAGGAAAGATGCCAGAGACTTGGAAAGAGGCTAATGTAGCACTAATACCTAAAGAGGGGCAAGATTTCACTTTAACAAGAAACTATAAACGAATATCATTATATTCATAAGAGACATAAGAGCTTTTGTAGATGACTTAGTGGTGGTTTTAGAAGATCCTTTAAAGGGTATTGAAATTCTAATGTAAATTAAAGGAATTTGGTGCATTGGCAGGCTTTAAAATCAATAAACAGAAGATGAAGATGTTAACAAACATCAAACAGAATTGATGAATAAAAGAGGTTTTAAAATCGAGAAGAAAGTAAAATACTTGGATATCACTATGACAAATATGAAATGTATGTTATTTCAAAATAATTATGTTAAGGCTTGGAATGAAGTTTAAAAAGATATGTTAAAATAGGAGAAAATACAGCTGTCATTGTTGGGGAGAATTTCTGTCTTAAGATGAATGTTTTATCCAGAATGTTATCTTTGTTTCAGACAATACCTGTTTTGACAACTGATGCACCATTTAAACAATGGCAGAAGGATACATCTAAATTTGTGTGGCAGGGGAAAAAAACACATTACAAGATGTAAAAGAAAGAGGAGGGCTGGGTTTACCTGATTTGAAATTATATTTTGCAGCTTTTGCTTAGTTTGGATGAAAGAGTGGATGTTGCTGAGAAACAGAAGGCTTTTGGAGTTAGAGAAACATGACCTAAGATTTCAGTGGCATGGATATTTACAGCACAACAAAGCTAAGGTTAATGTAGATTTTAAAAATCATTTTCTTAGACGTGCTATACTGAAAATATAGAATAGATAGAAATACAGGTTGTGCCCAAAAACACCTTTGTGGATCTCAGCACAAAAAACATTCTATAGACGAGAAATGATAAATAAATACAAATGGCTAACTTATTGTGAGATATTATAATTTGGTCAAGGGAAATATAAAAAAAAATCAAGAGATCTGGTGGCAGAAGGACATACTTGTCAATGGTTTTTTAATGTACAATTACTAGATAGATTAAAAGTAGACAAAAGAATCTTTGGTTTTGAACAGTGAAAGACTGAGTTTGAAATAGAATTGTGTACAAATGTTGAACATGTTATTGCTAAAATGTACAGATTTTTACTGAAATTTGAAATGGAGGAAGAACAAGTGAAAGTATGTATGATAAAGTAGGCTAAACATTTTGGTTACAATATACAAATGGAACGGTGATATGTGGATGAAAAGACTAAAATTTACATTATGTTATCATCTTAAAGAGAATTTTTATAAAATGATGCATCACTGGTATATGTCACTGGAGAAATTGTCTAGAATGTATAAAGGTATTTCAAATTCATGCTGGAAATGTGAACAACAAGAAGGGACATTTTAACATACTTGATAGATGTTTTTGACAAAAGCCAAAACATTTTGGATTCAAAAGCATACACTAATTCAGAAGATTTTAAAGATTAATATACAATTGAAACCAGAGGTTTTTCTTTTGGTACTGATAGACGAACAGTTGGAAAAAAATCATGGAACATTGCTTTTATTCATGATAATGGCAGCAAGATTATTATATGCACAAAGGTGGAAAGATTCGAAGCTACCCACAATGGAGGAGTGAATGGTGAAGATGATGGAACTTGCTGAGATGGCCAAATTGACTTCCCATAGAAGCGAATATATGTAGCTCAGGGTTGAACTGTGGAGTCCTTGGGGTTGTCTGAGCTTAGTGGTTTGCTTGCAGATGTTTCATTACCCGTCTAGGTAACATCTTCAAATTGACTTATTTGATCAGAGAAAAGACATTATCTACATTTATTGCTGACTGGAAACCCCTCAGACTTCTGGCGTGTAACAGAAAAAAATGAACTTATGATTTATGTTTTTGATGATTAGAAAATATATATTATAGAAAAAATAAGAACCATGTTGTAACCATAGAGTAAGAGGTAAATTTATACTTATAACTGCTGTAAAGAAAATCTGAAACTACTTCTTTATATTACTTTTCTTTTTCTGCACTTTTAGCTTTGTCTTTCTTTTCTTTTTTCTTTCTTCTTATTCTATATTAGTTTTTGTTAGTTTTTATATTTCTTTTTAAAATTTTTAATACAATTATATGAAAAAAAAAAGATGATGAGCCATTGCTCTATATTCAAAGAATTCACTCATATGTTTCTTTTAATTAGCATAACAGGTCATGGAGATACTTGGAATTTTTTGAAGTACACCACCAAACCTCCCTTGAAACTAATATGGGGATCTTATATGTATAGTGTTTTATCTTAAACCATTCTCTGAAGAAAAAAAATATTCTTTCTTTTTATTACAACAGAAATCTAACAAGTTAAGAAAGTAATATAAACTACATAGTTTAACATAACATCACATTCAAACAATCACATCCCTGACTTATTTCTACATCAGGGCTCATAAAGAATTACCAACTCTTTATGTACTGAGGGACATATTAGATGGTCAAGAGGGAAACAGAGCTTTCCTTTTTGCAGAGTTGACCTGATATGTTCCCATGTTTTCATAAGAACTCCAAGAAAGTAAAATAAGAAAATAATACACAATATAGCACACTTTAATACCATATGCCAACTTGTAAATTCTAAAGCTTACATTTCAATATAATCCCACACCAATTTATGCATAGTCTTACCCACTTTAGAGCACAACTGGCAAGGAAGAGGTTGAGGAAGTTGTTACATTCCCTTTGTGGTCACCTCTTCCTGTTTTGGGATTGACATCTTTCATGTGGAACTCATAGCATATATGTGTTTAAAGGAGTCTATTACAAAAGTATTGCCTGTTATGTCTGCATGCAGAGTTAACTATGAAAAGAATCTTTGGAGCATTATAATAGGGAATCTAGCCAAGGGGCTTTTCATCTTCTGAACTCTTGTTTTGGACCAGGTTGATACCTCCAGGGCTTCTACCTGAGTTTGCTACCTATGTTTTGTGCCTAAGTTAAGGCTTTGCCCATTAACATTTTTTTTTTAAATCAGCACCAAGCAAAGGGAGTTGGGAGCAATTAGTGAACACTAATTTCCTGGAAAGGAATGCATGGCTGATGAACTTTTTTTTTTAACATGATTCACTGACAAAATTAGCAAAACCCATAAAGATTTTATGCCTTTAATACACTGTACTACCTTCCCAGATTTTACTGATCTAATGCCATCAGATACCAAGTGAAGGAACATAGGGAATGTAGGCTGTTTTCTGTCAAACTCATCATTTTTCCTCCAAAATGCTACCTGGTGTTTGATTTGGCTTGTGCAAACAATGCTTTTTCTTTGGATATAGTGTATATTTCATGTACCAATATTTTCCTCCAACCAAAAGTTGTTATTCGATTTATATAGCCACCCATCTCATGTTTGTAACTCTAAGCAGCTTACAGTAAAATGGATAAAATATATAATATAAAAAAAATAAAACACATAGCAGCTGGGTATTCTCCAAACATCTATCAACACAGCCAGGAAGGTGGGCTCTGTCACACACCCAGGGCCCCTTGCTTGGGCTCAAAACTAAGTTTTCAAGGCCTTACAAAAAGCCAGCAGGAACCAGGCCAATCTAATATCAGACAGATGACGGTCCAAAGGGTGGGTGCCATGGCAGAAAAGGCTCTCCTTCTGGGCCCCACCAGCCAACACTCCTTAGCTGACATTACCCATAGCATGCTCCTCCTGCCTGATCAGGTATGAGGGGTAAAGACAATTGGGGGGAGATGGTCCCATAAGTAACCCAGCCCCAAACCATGAAGGGCTTTAAAAGTGACAACCAGCATCTTGAATTACACTAGAAGCCAATGCAGCTCACAGAGCAGTGGTGTCACATGCCCTAAATAACTGGTGCCATTAAGTGCCCATGCTACTGCATTCTGCACCAGTTGAAGCTTCTGAATACTCTTCAAGGGCAGCCCCATGTAGGGCGTTATTGCAACAGTCCAGTCTGAAGTTCATGAGGGCATGACCAGGGCCCCCCGGTCCAGAAATGAGAGCAACTGATTAACACCCCAAAGTTGTGCGAAGGCCTTCTTAGCCACAGCTGCTACCTGCTCCTTGTGCAGAGCTGCAAGTCCAGGAGGACCCTCAGATTACATATCGGTCTGGTGCAATGCCATCCCATCCAGAAGTCTGAGCATTTGACTGTTTGGGATCTGTACTTAGGTGGCTGTATTGTTACTATAGCTTGCAGAAATAGAGCACCCATCCCTGCAGTAATTTAAAGTTATCTGGAGTAAAATAGAATAGAATACACAGGCATTGGCTACACAAAGAATGAGCTATATAGACTCATCTTTTCTAACTATACTACATAATTTTTGCTGCTTTCTAAAATCTTAATAAAATTAAAATCTTAACCAGACATTATTTCAACCTTTTACCTTCTGATTGCATTCCACACTTTAACTCCATCATCCCGATAGTAGTAGTATGGAATATCCTCACTGCTTTCCATATGTCTTGACTTAATTTCTTCAGGAAAGCAGAGAGAGTTGTAGGTAAGATGTTTCATTGCTCGCTGGACCATTTGCACATGCCCACCTCCTCCAGTGGCATTTGCCTTTAGCAACCAAAACAAATAATACAGGGCATTAAGAAAAACACAGTTGAGAAGGATCTCACATTCCTAAGATCAATAGTCATACAAAAGTATGTGATGATGCAGCTTGGACCACTGGCCTTATGAAGCCATGATATAGCAGAGGATCTCTGTATGTGTGCTGCTCCAGCTTCCATACAGGATTGTTTTTCATATTCAAGGCTTAGCCACTCAACTTCTCCAAGTTTTTCAAAGAAACCTTACAAGCTAGTTACACTAAGGAAAAAAAAAAAAGAACAAGGAAAGAAATATTTGTATTTAGTCATTTAATGGGGTGAGGTTTTTCCTCTTCTATAGAGAATAAGAAATCTAGAGGCTAAGTGATAAAATGGGTACCACCTGAGATAGTAGAACATACTTATTAGGTCTATGCATGCTTTGGAAACTATTCAGAAGTGCTTTGAATCTTGCATGAAGATATGCTCATTTTTGTGAATCTAGAAGGAAGAGCTGGGTGGCTGAAAGTCAGAAGTATGTGTTTAACTTTTCTTAAACTGGATAAGCAGTGAAAATCTTTCAAATCAATTGTTCTACTTCAACAAGTTAGGAGCTGAGATAGGGAGGTCACAGTAATCTTGCAGTTGTTCCATCTATGAGCATTCTGGTTGATTTCTAGGAGCAGTTGCTTTTTTCTGTAGTACACAGTGATAGTTGACGTCATAGGACAGGTTGTCAGAATGCTGCAGTTCTCTGCTGCACTTTTAACCCCTTGATTGCCATGGAGGGTTTGCAGATCAAGGATTGTTGGAAGCTAACCACTTGACTGCAGTGTCATTTAGCCATTGCAGTATAAATATCAGAGTTTCTACAGACAATAGGCAGACCTCAAAGAAAGTTTGAGTGATATAGTTGTGGGAGATAAAGGAGAATATCCACTACTTTCCTGCTCCCGAGAGTGGCTTGGGCTGGAACTTTGGAGTGTCGGGGAGAAGACCTGTCTTGTTATTGGCTTCTGTGTTTTCATATTCTTTGGGGGTGAAGGGGATCCTGAAGCTGTAAATCTGTTTGTGTTATCTCTGTGCTGGGGAGATAGGAATGAATCCTTATCCGTTTCTCTGCTTTATTGGATTTATGGGCCCCAGTTTTATTACTGAGACTGGTCCGGGTTCTTTTCTTGGCATGCTTAGGCCAAAGGGACAGAGCCAGAAGGGGTAAGGCTGGTCACAAATTGGGAGCTTATTTCAGGAGCTGCTAGTTTGTTGCCATCTTGGCTCAATTATGAAGGAAATTATGAAGGAAAAATGTGTCCAGGAAGGATGGGAAATCCTATTAATTGAGATATTGAAGGCACAAAACAGTTTGTACAAGAAGGAAAAAAAGAAGAAATCTGAAAAAGCCAACATGAATACAAACAGCTGTTTAAAATTCTAAAGAGAAAAAGGGGCACATAGGAAATCAAAGGAGAGGCATATCACTAAAGGAGAATGCAAGGTAGTTTGCAGAATATGTAGGAATTTTGTCAGAAAGTCTAATCAGAATGTGCTGCAACTTGTGCTAGGCCTATGAAGTAGACCAAATCAGGACTCCATACTTTATTGAGATAGGCTATGGCGACAGAATCTTGCAAATCTGTGTTTTCCCTTTCTTCCCTCTTAGACCCCTGGAAATCAGGGAGGAGCCAGTCTGAGTCTTTTTCTAATACTTTCCTGCCCCCCCCCCCGGCTTAACATATGCTTCTTCTGCACCTGTTGCTGTCTTAACAGCTTCTGGATGCCTTCTTCAAGGTCACCTCCATGTCCATTTCCTTCTCCCTACAGCTTGTGAGAAAATGTCCAAAGAAATACTTTTTATGCTTTGTCATAAACAGAACTAACAGCAAACAGGCAATAGGTCTGTGTGAGGAGAAAGTGGTGAATGAATGCAAAACTTCTTACCTCCTATTTTGCATATATTTTGTTTCAGAACGGAAATAGAGCCCTATCTGGTCATTGCTGAGCAGGTGGGGGAAGAAGGGAACTGCAGTTTGGGGTAGATAAGGAGAAAATAAGAGAAAACTTAACTAATTTAAATTAATTCAAGTATCCAGGCTGAGATTATTACATTCTAGGATTGTGAAGGAACTAGCAGAAATTATTGCCAAACCGCTCTTGAGCTTCTGGAACACTTGGTGAGGTCCGAGAAGACAGGAGGAAAGCAAATGTCATCAATGGTCAAAAAAATGGAAAAGGAAGTCCAGGGAAACTACAGACCTTTCAGCTGCACATCTATACTGGCAAGGTCTTTGAAAAGATAATCAAGCAGCACATTTGTGAACATATAAATAGACATCTTACAATTAACAGGAGCTAGCTTGGGTTTGTAGCAAACAAACTGTGCCACACTAGCTTAACTCCATTAACAGAGTTACTAGCTTAGTAGATCAGGGGAATATTTATAGTGCATCTGGATTTAAACAAAGATTTAGACAGTCTCCCAGAATTTAGATATTCTCTTAATAAAATGGTTAAATGTGGGCTAGACGATATGCGTATGAACTGATATTTTTATGGGGGGGCCTTGATATGTTTTATTTCTTTTTGGAGGTTTTATGGATTGAGTATATTTTTATTTTGTTTACCACCCAGAGTTTCATTGGATAATTGGATGACCATATAAATGGAATGAATGAATGAATGAATGAATGAATGAATGAATGAATGAATGAATGATACTACTGTTACATGGATTGAGAACTGATTGAATGACAGTACCAAACAAGTGTGCATTAATATTTCTACTTCAGCTTAAGAGAAAGTATCACAGAGATTTATCAATTAAATTGGATGAGTTGTTCAGAGGATACAAGTTTGCATATGACACAAGCAGGGTGGGGGTAGCTAATACTTTGTAGGAGAGACAGAGAAAATTCAAAAAGTTGTAAGGCTTGAGCAGTGGGTTTAAAATGAAAAGGATAGAATTTAATAAGGAGAAATTTAAAGTTCCTCAGCTGGGTAGGAAAAATGTAAGGTACAAGTATTGGATGGGGAAACCCACCTTAGCAGCAGTACATGTAAAAGGGATCTGGGTGTCCTTGTTAACCTCAAGTTAAACATGAGCCAGGAGTGTGATGCAGCTGCTAAATAGGCAAAGCCTATTTAGAAGACATTAAGAAGAGCATAGATTCCAGACCATAAGATGTAATTGTTCCCTTCTACTGGCAAGACCCTGGTGAGATCCCACTTTGAATGCTATGTCCCAGTTCAAAAAAGACAGTGATATATTGGAGCAAGTTCAGAGGAGGGTTACCAAGAAAACCAAGCACTACAAGGAACAATGAATGAGTTTGGATATATTTAGTCTACAGAGAAGACATCTGAGGAAGATATGATAGCAGTCTTGAAATATTTTAAGCAGATTTATATTCTATGGCTGGTGTGGGTCTTCCGGGCTGTGTGGCCGTGTTCTTGAAGTTTTGTTTCCT